GGCGGCGCACGCGCACGCTCGCCCATGCAAGCAGGCCGGATTGCACGACATCTCGCGCCCATCGCTTGGGCTTGCGTCGCCCCGCGCCGCTGCGCGCCACGCGGCGCCCCCCCTTCCCTTTCGCCTGGCCAGGGCGGGGGGCGCCCGCGCCGCTGTTTCGCGCCCGCGATGAACGTTGCGCGACGATCGCCCACCGCAGAAGCTTGGCGCGGATGCCAAACGGCTCGGCGAGTCGCACCGCGACGATGGGTGCGGCGCTCGACCATGGCCGCGCGCAGCGGTGCCCCGAGCCGACGGCGGCTCGGGCACGGCCTGCGTCGCTGGCCTAGCCGAGCGCCCAATGCGAACACCCACTGTCACGGGGCGCCGGGCGCTCGTCGGGGGCCCAGCCGCGCGCGCCACGCGCGCGCCGGCGCAGGCCCAATGCACCGCGCGCCGCCGGAGCGCGAGCGCGCGCGCTCCACCCGGCATGAAGGCCGGGCATTTTTCTTCGCGCATCGCCGTCGGAAGAACGACTGTCTCCGGCCTCGAGGGGCGCCCCGCTTCAGCGTCTCAACTGGCAGATACTCTATGAAGGCAGCGCTTCGCCAGCCGTCCGCGCGAAGCACGTCGGCCAGCCCGGCCCCGCGCTCGACGCAGTCGAGCGCACGCCCGCGGCGCGGCGCCTTTGTGTCGAATTCCTCTGGGCGCGCTAGGCCCGCCGCCCCGACCGCAGCCCGCCCGGATTGCGGCCAAGGCGTCAGCGGGAAAGAAGCTCGCGAAGGCTCGCGTGCCCACGCCAGCTTTCTCGAAGAATGCGCCGAGGACGCGCGCTGGGCACGCGCCTCTGCCGCCCTCAGTGCGGCGCCAACACTTGCGCCATTGTAACAGGTCGTTCCGAACTCTTGCGCCGCTACAAACGCAAACCTAACGCCTCTTCTGAGAGGCGCGCCGAGGCCCGGCGCTGCCCGTTGAATGCCGAACCATCGAGGACAGCGGGCGCCCCCACACTTGGCAGGCGCAACAGAAACGCATGCCCGAAACACACGAGCCCTGCCACGCCCCTTCGAAATGACGCGGCCACTGGGCCCGAGACGCTCGCTTCGACGACTCTGCAAAGGAAGGCATGCGGTGCAAAACGCTTGACTCTCGGGTTCGCTGGGCACCTCTTCGCGATGCCCAATCGCGCACGCTTCGCGGATCGATCGCCGAAGGCGGCCGTCGACGCCGACGCCAGCTCGGGTGCCGCGCGCCAGTGGCCGCGATAATTTGCGAGCGTGCCGCTCGCGCGGAACAGCGCACAGGCGATCTGGAGGTCCTCCGCGCCGATGGGACACGGGGGCCCCCGGCCAAGGGCGCGCAAAGAGAAGCGCAACCACCAGCGCGCTGCGGATGCCCATGGCTGCGCTGGCCGAGGACAACTGCCAAACGCCGCGTCCAGGCGCGCCCTCGTAGCGAAGCGCCGGCGTTCAGGCGGGCCCATTGCCGCGGCGCCGTCGAGGGCGCGCCGAGGCCCTCCACTGGGCGCGGCCATCTGGTTTGCGCACGAAGCAGCGTAATCGACGACGGCCTCGACCGCGCCTCGCGCTCGCGAGCCCGCCGCGCGAGCCGCGCCGCAGGTGCCTCCTCGCCGAACGTGGCGGGGCACCTCCCCCAGCCGAGCGCGCGCGGCGCCCCCCCCCCCCCCCCCCCCACTCTGGGCGGCGCGCTCGCCCCCTCGCGCGCGACGCCTCGCGCCCGTCGCTCGGGCTTGCGTCGCCCCGCGCCGCTGCGCGCCACGCGGCGCCGCCCCTTCCCTTTCGCCCAAGCATGGGGGCAGGGGCGGGGGGCGCCCGCCCCGCCGTTTCGCGCCCGCGAGCAACGTTGCACGACAACCGCTCACGAAGAGCCAAGGTCTTCGCACGCAAAAGCCGTGCTCGCCCTTTCCTGTGCCAGGCCTTTTTCTAAAGAGTCGCGCACGCGCGCGTGCAACGAACCGGCGCGTCGGAACATGGCGCGCCGCGCGATGGCTCAACCGGCGCCGGCCTGCAGGACAAATGGAATGGCCAAGCTTGCCCCAGCAACGGTGCTGTCGGAAATTTGCTGGAAACGTCAAATAACTCCATTGCGATATCTTACCGTCGCAGCCAAACGCGTCGTGCACTGAAATCAAACTGCTAGCAACCTGTGCGCAAGCTGTGCATACGTAATGAACTGCGACATCGCCCAAAGGATTGAACCTGACACGCGGCGTGGCTTGGGAACGCTGGAAGTGGCTGCGCGGACGTGGCTGGCTTGGTGACCTCATCGGTCCCGTGCGCGTGCTGGCCATATCAGCGCAGGCGCCAAGCAAAATGAACACCGCATCGTCCGCCGCTTCCTACCCGACTCCAGATTCAGGCAACAACCGCGGTGCAACTTCTTCGGGAGGTCCCTAAAACTGTAATGGGCAACACCCGCTAGAGTGTGTAGGCACCGCCAACACCAGAAAACGCTCGAAAAAGTGAAAACCCACTTAAAATCCATAGCCTCAAAAAACTATCAAAAAAGTATAGAAAATCGGTCGCGTACGAAACACTGTAAGGAACCCTGGTTGCTGGCGCCAACTTGCAAACTGCTGGAGGCTTCTACGACGCAAGGCATCAGGATTTCAGGACGGCTGATGCGCGCGAAACCATGCGCGAATAGAATGGATGGCACGAGAAGCGTGAGGTGTAGATGGCTCGCGCAGCGTGAGGTACGGGAAACGCGTTTTACGGTGGCCACGCGGCGAACAGAATTCCCAGGGCTGGCGGGAACGGGCACAGGCCAGCAGAGAAGCGGCGAAGCCTGGCACATCCAAGCACGGGCCAGCCAAGAAGCGGCACGGCGGGCACAGGGAGGACCGAAGCGGAGATCGAATCTGACCGATGAAGGATCGCAGGGAGTAAGCTCGGAGAGGGCTCCCAGCTCACCACCTTCTCTTCATGATCCTGGCCCTCCCCCTGTTCATTCCTTAACCCCCCTTCCTCTCCTCCCGCGCCCGCCCCCCCTCTTCCTCCTCGCCGCGTGCCTCCCCGTCCCCCGCGTCTACCTAGCGACCGCAGTCGCCCAGTGAAGCCGCCGCCCTCAGTCGCTCGACACAAACTCGGAGTCCGAGCATTCCCCCTCCTCCTGATGCTGCAGGGGCTCGGGCGCAGCCGCCGACGACGACGCGGCCCCCTCGAGCGCCGCGGGGTCCACCAAGCGCTTCACGTCGCCGTGCGGGAAGGCCTTGACCAAGAAGTGCCGCGGCTTGGCGGATTTCTTGATCGTCTTCCCGCTCTTCAACTGGGAGACTTGATCGAGCGGTCTCTGCGCATCACGGAGCGAGGATGTCTCAAGCGAAAGCCGCCAGCATGACCAAACACATTGCACCGCGACTCCCACGGGAATGCGATGCGAATGACGTCACAAGCGAAACTGGCACCCCTGAAACGCAGCAGGCCGCGCGAACGATCTCGATGGGGGAGGGGGAGGGCAGCGGGGGAGGAGGAAGGGAGGAAGTGGACAAGGAGATGGGGGGTTAAACAGGAGGGGGGGGAGAAAGAGGATGTGGAGGGGGAGGAACGCTCGAGAAAACAGCCCCACCAATCTATCTCAGTTGTTCACTTCCTGTTCGACTGTGTCCCTCCTCCACCTAACACGTCCTGACCCCCCCCCTCCTCTTTCTCATAGTCTTCCTCCTCCTCCTCTTACTCCCTCCTCCTCCTCCTTCTGATCCGGACCCCAGTCCAAATGGGAAAATATGGTCAGTGATCGTCTTCTCCGCCTCTGCGGGCATCAGCTTCGCCGTCATCTTGACGAGGCCTGGGAGGGCGAACGCCTGCTTGTCGAGCAGCTCCCTGGCACCCACGGTCTCCAGGGCGTGCAGCACATTCGAGACGTTCGCGTAGCCGACCTCTGCGAGGCGAACCGTCGGCCTGGGCCCCGAAGCGCCCTAAGCGACCGAAGACTCGCCCCTGTCCGCAGACGAGAGCGCCAATTCGATCGCCAAGGGAACTTCGGAACCCAGGGTGGAGATTCGGTCTCGGGGGCCCCCTCGCAACGGTAGCCGTGCATGTCCAGCCTCGTCTCCTCGTTGATCGCCGTGACCAGCTTGAAGCGGCTCAAGGCGACCTTCGAGGGCGACAGCTTCGCTGGGGCGGCGGCGTCCGAAGGCTGCGGCTCGGCCGCGTCGGCAGGCGCGACGTTGGGCGCACCAGCATCAGCCATGGGCCCCGATCCCACTGAGCGTGAAGGCCAATCTCCCCACTCGGGAAGATCCGAAAACTCGAAGACACGAAGCTCGGACCTTGATCCAATGTCTTCGGAAGCAGGGCGCGACCCGAAGCCCTTGGATGGGACCCAACCTCAGCGTCAAAATGCACCCTTCCCCCTGAAAGCCGAATCGAACCAGGACCAGGGAGGGGGCGTACTAGAGGGGGGAGGGGGGGGGGCTGGCAAGGATAGGAGACTGCAGATCTGCACGACCCCCATGCACGCGGTAGGGGGGGGAGGGAGGAGTCGGGGGCGGGGAGGGGCGATAAGGTCCATTGATCCCCCATCTTAGTTCTAAGCCTCATGTGCGAGTCCCTCCTCCTCCTCTTCCTCCCCCCTCTTTCCTGCCCTCCTCTACGTACATCTCCTCATCTCGTATCCCTAACCACTCCTGGTCCTAAGGCATCCACCTCGCATTGGTTTCAGCGCCCAAGTTAGCGCGAGGGTCGGTGGGCCCGAACGCGCGCGAACGCATCCCAGGATGTTGGTGCCACCGAGGCGCAAACCCACAACTGATTCTGAAACTGACCGAACTCTCAGGCCAACTTGAGATTCGAACTCGCCCAACACTTTTCAAACGACGGGAACCCGACTGAAACATTGGAAACGGCATGGGCGCCAAGAGAAAGGAGGAGCATACTGTGATTTCCCTTCGAGCTGGCTGGCAGCACCGCCATGTCCAGCCTAGCGCCCTCTCGAGGGCAACATATGGAAGCACGCAGCCACCACTGCGCGCGAATGAAGGCCAGCACCTGGCCGTCTCCTCAGATGGCCTGCAACTTCAGGGCGGCGCGGTACTTTGCCAAAATCACATCGTCCATGTCGACGGGCAGGACCTTCCACTTGGCGAGCTCCTTCTGCACCGCCACGCACTGCCCGCGCAACCAGACCTTGTCCTTGCACCTCGTATCGCAGAACGCCTGCATGAGCTGGATCTCGCAACCCACGATGGCAACTTTCTTCGTCAAGTCTGGCGTCGTGCCGATCAGATCAGCGTCGGGTTTCAGCGCCATGTCCTCGGCGTACTCGGTCACCGCAGTCTGCGCCTACGAGGCGAGCAACAGCAAGACAGGACGAGAAACGTGAGAGAGATGGGAGCAATAACGCCATTATCAGAAGGAAGCGTGATGGAGAACAGAAACATTGAACCTTGAAGCGGGGAAAGGAGAGTAAGGACACGATGCTACACACGGAAGAAGCATCGAGCGCCTGCTCGATGTTGCCCAACGCGTTGAAGATGCCATCCACGCTCGCGCCGTCCAGGAGCTCCTGCGCCTTGGCCTTCAGGTCCTCCCAAGTGAGCTTGTCCCTCTCCACCCAGCCCATCAGGTCCGAATTGTCGACGGAGAGGCTCTGCGCCTTCAAGCGAGCGCCCGCCAAGACGAACTCCCGCCTCTTCAAGCAAGCCTGCGTCACGCGCATGCACAAGCCCGTCGAGACGTCCACGATAGACGTTGCCCTGTCTTGGAAGATCGATGCCACCTCTCCAGACGAAATGACCTCGTCGTCGAACTTCATCTTCAGCATCTTCGTCACTTTGGCCAGCTCCCTCTTCACGGCCGATGCCTGCTTCTCGGACGTGGAGCCAGAGTCGCCGTCGCAGTCATCGACCACTGTCACATTCAACATAGCGGTCTCGCGCTGCAACTTCATGAGCGCCCTCGAGGTAGACAGGACCACTTCCGCCTTCTTGCTCAAATCCTTGCGCATGAACCCAACCAGCACGCCCTCAAACTCCATGCTCGAGTCGGTGGGCGAGCGATTCGAGGCTGGCGTGAAGTCCCTCTCGGCGAGCATCTTGACATGAGAAGCGAAATAGCCAGCCATTTCAGCATGATCTGCCTCCGCCAACGCATCCGAATCTATCCCTTGGGCCATGTCAAGCAGCTCCGTGACGTCTATACTCTCGCCAGCGTTCGCCTTTGTGATGACCTTCTTGACGGCGTGAACCTTGGCGCGCGAGTCGGCGTCCCCGATGATCTTGCCGATGTCCCGCATCTCCTGCATCAGGTTCTCAAAAGACGGGCACGAGTCCGCAGCCTCAGCGAGCAACGCCTTGTATGCGGACATCAGCTCCAACTCCTCCTCAGAAATCGCACCGCCCTCCGGTTGCCCAGCACCACCCCTTGTCCAGTGCTGGACCGCGTGGGCGAGCTTGTTCATCGCAACGCTCTCGAGCTCGTCGGCGGCGCCAGGTGCCAAAGCAGCGCGCAAGAAAGGAAGCTCGCCAACAGCAGATTTGGCCAGGGCCAAGAACGCCTTTGTCGGGGTAGGCGCCTCGTGCTTCTGGAAATCCCGTAGAAACTGCGAGACCTTCGGCGCGTGTGTCTTCATCTGGTCGTTCTTTCTCGCTGCTGTCATCAGGCGCGCCTTCCACCATGCATTGTCGCCAATGGCAATGGCCACGCTGGTCATCAAGTTGCCCCTCTTAGTCGTCTGGTGAGCTGCCTGCTCCATGGCTTTCACGTCACCAAAGAGGGCAATGTCAGTGTTGTGGCTGATGTTCTGGTCGCTGATATACCTCAAGACGCCGACGGCACGCTGCGCGTCCACCAATACCTGGGCTTCTCATCGGCAATGTGTGCGTCAGTAGGAAGCTCCCACGCCTCGATTACGGCGTGCGCGAACTCCAGGACGAGCGGCTCCTTCTCCTCCCCAGCCCCAATCCACTTCACAAGGTGGTCGCCGAACACCATGTTCTAGAAGGCCTCGGTCAGCTCGGGGGTAACGAGATCCATATCGATCAAGCGCGGGCTCGCCCACTGGAACTCCGAACCGTCCTTCTGCTGCCAAAGCTGCAACATGCCCAAAGCACGCCTCAGACAGTGTTGACCGTGGACCTCTCGCGGTGCTTTCTCGAACTCGTCCCAACAAGGCTGTGTCTTCCTGCGCGGGATCTCCATGTGGGTGACGGGAAGGAAGTGCAAGCCTGACGACTCGAACACCTGGCAGGACTCCTGGAAGTCCTGATCAGAAAGCTTCTCCATGGAGCCTGGGACAAACTGCATGGCCCTGTCATACAGCTTCATGTGCGCGGCCAGGCGGTTCCGATCATCGCCGACGGGGAGCTTGTTGTGCAAGAGCTTCGCCTGATTGTACTCGCTCCCGAGCCGCTTGCCAGCGGCGACCTGGCGAATGGGCAGCTTCGCAATCCAATAGTCTGCCGTGCCCTTCTTGATGTTCGGGTCGACCTGCCCGTCATCATCTGCAGCTGGCCTCTTCGAAGCGGACGCTGGTCGGGGGCCTGAAGCGGTCTTGGCACACGACGCCCCCTTGGAGACCTTGGTTGGGGTGGGGGAGCGGCGAGGCACGTGCTTCTCGGGGTCGTCACTCTCGCCTAAGCGAAGGCAGCTCGAAGACCGCCTGGTCGCAAGCTTCTTGCTTGACTCCGCTTGGTGAGCATCCTCGCCGCCTGATCCTGAGTGGAGCCCCTCCTCCTCCTCGCCCTCCGCGAAGCCATCGTCGCTGGCACCACCGCCCGCTGGCAAGTCCGCAGCGGGCGCATCTGGAAGCTCGTCGCCGCTGCCGACGGCCTTCGATACACCCAATCGGCGATCCAGGTCCTGCAAGGAAGGCAGTCGGTTCAACCCCCCCGTCTCGCTATCCGTCATGCCGAGGCGGTGCACACCCTTCAAGACGACAGGGATCTGGTCCGCGAAGGCCGCGGGTCTGTAACCTTTCTGGTCGCTCGAGGCGCTGGCTGACAATCTCGACTGCAACCGCAAGATCTTGTAGGGCTGCTCGGGGTTCTTGAACGGGTAGTAAACGTTATAGGCCCCATTCTGCTGGTAGCTTGGCAGCTTGACCCCCTTCAGGCGAAGAGTCTTCGGCGTCTTCTTCCAGCGCTGAGTGACCTGCCACGCAGATAGTAGTATGAAGCTCTGGTCCACGACCGCGTGGGTGGAAGCCCCCGTGGTCGCTGAGATGGTGTTGATCTCAATGCCGTCGCTGGCATTCGTCAGACCCTCCTCCAAAGTCGTAGCGAGAGTCTCGCTCTCCTGGCGCTCTTGTAGCAAGAGGTTCACGGTGTACCCTGCGATGCAATCAACCACGCCCCCAAACGGACAACGCCCCATGCACCCCCACACGAAGCATGACGCCACAGGCTGGCGTTGTACCGAGGTGTTCGTTGATACCGACTCGGGTCGGCGGAACAGACCCCCCAGGGTCCACTGGCCTGGGTGACTGGCACACTTGCGACCTAAAAAAAACTATCATCCCGCCTTACCCCCAAACCTTTCATCGTCAAACCCCGCCGTCAAGCCTCAAGCCTCATCCTCAAAAACGCACCCAGACTCTCCTTCCCAAGGAGGCCCAGATACCCCAGAAGGCTCAGGGCCCCCGAGTCCCCCTGAAGGCCCCACCACACTGGAATGCACTTAGCACGAGGGGCATGGGAACGCAGTGCGCCCGAGGGATAGGAAGAGGCATGGCCTGGCAAGTGCGCTTCGGTGAAGGAGGCGCAATCTTCGCAGACGGCGTGCGTGCTCTCGTCCATGCAGGTCAAGTGCTTGGAGGTCTCTGGGTCGTACATGGTCTTGTCCTGCGTGGCAGGCCAAGAGACACGCGTTAGAACACGTGCCCCCCCCGACTAGAGAAAGGTAATCGTCACCAAGGGGGGCTTGGATACCCAATGACATGCTAGCAACTAGTAGGGCAATAAGGGGGGCTCGAGAAGGGCTGGGCAATTGTTCGTGGGCGGAGGGGTCCCTGGAATTGCCGTCACAGATCGCACAGCACAGCAAGGCCGCCTTGCCCTTCTTGGAGGGGGGCGCGCCCTTTGGACAAGCGCGTGAAAGCACCCCCTCCACTTCTTCGTCAGCGGCTCGCTTATTCGAGATGCGGCCTCCACCGCGCCCAGAGCGGCGACCGCCACTGCTGCCCTTTCTTGCCATTATCTGGATATAAGGACACGCCCAAAATTACTTGGCTAGAGTGGGCTGCGGAAAAACTGTTGTTCCAGAGTGTTTCGCTGAAGATAATCCTCGACACACGTGCCCAAATTTCTCGGATGCGGCGGCCCCTGGACTCCAGCGCATACATCTTCAAAAAAAATGTTGGGCTGAACCAGAGGCCGGCAGCACCCCGAGCACGCAAGGAAACCATCAAGAGAAGATCCTGGCGAAATCAGGGCACGCAGATGCATCCACTACTGTCGTCCAAGGGCCCATGCGAAAGGTGACCGTCGCAGTAACCCCCTTCCCAGGCGCAGGCAACAGAGCTGGGGCGCGGCCTCGCACCTGCATTTCCTCATCATTGGATGCGAGGAGAACGCCCCCCCCAGTCTACCCCCCCTTGCTTCTGACGGGGTTGACATTGAGTCACTAGGATGTTATACAGTCATGTCGTTATAATGTTGCAAGTGCCCCCCCTGGACCCTGAACGGACGAGGCCGCGACGCTGTTCTCTTCATATAGACCGCCGCTAAGATAGATATGGGCTTGCCTTATACTTATTGTAGGCCACGCTCATGCAGTTATAAATCAACATGGTTCCACATGAAAGCGCTGTTGCTGACGTTTACAAACGCAATATACACAAGTGGCTATCGAACGCGCGCCTTGGTCTTCGTTTGTAACCATGATAAAAAAATGCGCGCGGCGGCCCCATGCCCCTCCCCCCCCGCGGTGTCCACGCGGAGGCGAAATCGGCAAATCCGAATCGGCAAACGCCGACGCCCATGCTAGCGACAAGACAGCTTTGACTGGCAACGGCGGCTGCCCACGACGTTGGACGCTCGGAGTCACGAACCTTTTGGTGGGCAAAACGACAGATTGGGCGGGCGCGCGAGAAGCCAGGATTAACGCCCCGACACATGTAGATGAATGCCTCTACATGGCCACTGCTTCGATAACGCAAAAAAGCGGCCCAACGCCACGCGCCGTTTACCGCGAGCTGGCTTTGCTTTTCAAGTGGGCTCGGCACTTGAAATGCGTCTACTGATGTGGCTAATTGGAGACTTGTGATCGAAAGAGACAAAGAGGTGGGTGAGTGGGTGAACGAAAGACGTGGAATCGGATGGCGTGCGCATGCGTTGGTGGGCGTGGCGCGCGGGGCGGCAAGCGCGCGTGCGCGTGGGTTGGCGGGGGTGGGCGGGGCGGCGCAGGTGTGGGGCGGGCAAGGTGGGCGGGCGATGGGGGGGCGACGGTGGCGCTGGCTCCCCAGCGCCTGGTCGCTGGAGCCCGCGCGCGCCATTGGACGAGTCGGCTATGGCGCGCGCCTACGCGCGCGCGGTTGGCTGCGAGTGAGTAGCAACGCGCGGTGCGCATGGCAGGGCAAACATGATCGCGGCACCATTGGTCACGCGCGCGCGCGGTGCCGTGGCGGGGGCGCATGAATGCCGAGGGGGGGGTGGCGGATGGCTCCAGAAACTTAGCGGGCGCGGGGGGCGCGCGCGGCGATGGCGGCGGCGGCGGCGGGGGGCGGCGCATTAGGGCGGCGAGGGGGCGATGCGAGGGCGAAACGAAACATGATGGCGGATGGCCGCGGCGTAGTCGCGACCGCGGCACGGAATGTAGCCGCCGTTCGCGATTAGGAGGCGGGGGGGATTGCCGTTCGCGATGAAACCCCGAGGGAAATCCCACTGGCGCGAACGGATCGCACTATTTTAAACAGACAGTGAACAAAACAACTGGTCGGCCACGCGACAGAGGAGTTGGAGGAGGCCGCGAGGGCACCTAGGAAGCGCTGGCTGCTGCTACCGAACGCATATGGCGGCGAATTCATTTCCTTGGTTGGCGACCCGACTTAAAATGGGGGCGGCGCGAACGGCGGCGCAAGGTGGACGAGGCGGCGCTGCGCGGGGCGATCAGATTGTTGTTAGTGAGAGGCGGACGCCGCTGGCGCGGCCAGGCTGGGCGGAGGCAAACCAGGGCTGCGGTGGCAGCGCGCGCGTGCTCGTTGCGATGGTTGGAGTTTCTCGGCGGGGTGGACACTGTCGCTTGCGAGGCGCGGATGGGCAGGCAACGCATTGCCGCTGGCGAGGCATCTCTATCGGGGGGCGCGTCTCGGACAACGAGGCAGGAGAGGACGCGCGCGTGCACGCGCAGCGCCCGCGTCCCGCGCGGGGAAGAGCGCGCGGAACGATGCGCGCGGGCGGTTGGCGGTCGAGCCCGCGGGTGGCGAGGCGATGGCATATTGCTGCGAGCGAAGCGCAAGTTGACGGCGAGGAGATTGCCGCTGGCGGCGCCTTCTCAACAAATGGGCGGCGCAACGAACGCGGCGGATGGCCCATCGAGGCTAAGCAGAAACGGCGGATCGGTGCGGCGGAGCGGCGCGCGTGCTCGCGCGCGCGCAGCGTGCGCGCGCGTAGTCGGAGATATGGGGCAGGGCGGCGGGCGCGCGGAACCAGGCTGCTAGGGGGGCGGTGTGTGTGTGGTGGTGGTGGAGGGGGGGGGGGGGGGTAGATTGCCGTTTGCGAGGCACGATTGGGCGGGGGGTAGATTGCCGCTGCAGGGTCATCTCCAGCAGGTGGTGACGCAGCGCGCGCGCGGGCGCGCGCGCGAGGCGCGCGAGGAAGGATGCGCGCCGCGAGGTGCGCGGGCACGTAGAATGGGCGGGGGGTAGGGGGCCGCGGTGGGGGGGGGGAAGGGGGGTGGGTAGATTGCCGTTTGCGAGGCACGATTTGGCGGGGTGAGGGGGAGGGGACGGGGGGGTGATTGCCGCTGCAGAATCATCCCTAGCAAGGTGTGACGCA